TTTCTTTACTATCTTTTATGTTGAATGATGATGATGATGCTTCTGAGTCTTGATTTGTAAGTTTGCTGGATGTTGTGTTTGAAATTTGATGATGATATTGAACTGTTTGAATGTTTTGTGGCTTGAAAATTGTTTTTATAGTTTGGGAGTTTGATGGTAGTTTTTGATACTTGGTTCTGTTTGTTTTGGTTATAGTTGGAATGATTTGTGAGTTTCTGTTTCCTTGATTTGAACTTGTTGGAATTTGGTTTTGAACTGGGTTTGAAGTGTTTTGTGATTGTTGAACTGCTGAAGGTTGTTTGAACTTGCTATGCAGATTTTGAACTGTTTGAGCTTGTTATGTTTGGTTTGCTTTTGCAGTTTGTCAGTTAACAGGTTGGGATGTTTGAACTGAGTTGGAATTGTATGTTTTGGACTGGGTTACAGGTTTTGTTGAAATGGTTTCAGTTTGGTTAGGCTTTGTGAGTTTGGGAGTTTTTTTTGCTGGTTGTTGTTGTACAGCTTTGGTTATGCAGGTTTTTGCTATTTGGTCTTGTTAACAGGTTTGGAGGTTTAAGAGTTGGTTTTACAAAAAAAAAAAGTTATTTCTTTCTTACAGTTTGCCTACTGTTATATCCTTTTCTCTTTGGGAGCCTGTGGGCAGGATGGCCCAGCTATACCTTTTGTGCAGTTCCAACAAAATAGGTGACCTCTTTCCTCTCTCTCCTCTCTCAATGATAAAAGCAAAATTTCTTTTTCTCTGTTTTTTTCTTAAAAGTTTGCATAAATTCTGGAAAATGATGAAAGGCTATTGAAACAAGCCCCTTGCTTGTTGTTTTGGTTTACCATACTGCTGTACTTTCTCTTTGCCTGCTGTTTGTATGCTACTTTGTTTTGCTTGCTTGTATTGCTTGCACTGTTATCTAGTTTGCTTGTACTGTTGCATCCAGTTTGCCATGCTGCTGTCTAGTTACTGCATTGTACTTTCTTCTGCTTGCTTCATTGTTTGGCCTTGTTGCATTGTTTGGCCTTGTTGCATTGTTTGGCCTTGTTTAGTTTGCATGCTTAGACAGCTTTGCTTAGACAGCTTGCTTAAACAGCTTTGCTTGCATTTTTCTTTTTCTTTTTGTGAACCAAGAAAAGTAATCTTCTTGTGATTTGCAAAGAGAAAAATAAAAACGTGATGAATTAAAATAGCCCTCTGATTCTAAATGGAAAACTTTAATGATGAACACATTGTTTCTTTTTTTGAAAATTCTTACCCATATCCAATTAACTGTGCTAATTATTTTTCTGTCTTTCTTTCATGTGAGCGCAAACTAGATGGTGGCAAAGCAGAGGAAGCAAGAGATTCTTTGGCGAGCATGGGAGCAATGGAAGCTTAGTCATCCTTAGGCTTATATGTTTTTCTTTGTAATTTAGAGAGAAATACTCAAACAATTGTACTAATTTATTTTTCAAATACAATAAGTTGTAAAACTTAGAGCATTTAAATAATAAATTGTATTTTAACAATTTTTGAAATAAATGAAAAAGTCTTTATGAGATAACCTGATGTTCAATAAAAATCCATTACTGTTAGTAACTTGTAATTCTCTCTTTGTGTCTTTACTGATTCTTTAAGATTCCTGATTAAAATAACTGAAACTGCATTCCAATAATTCCAATCCAGATAACTTAAACTCCAAGTAATCCAATAACTCTGTAATCTTGCAAATGTATTCCAATCAAAACACGCACTGTGTATTCCAAAAACAAGCAAATGTTTATTCCATAAACAAAGTGAATGTTTTTTAAAAGACGCAAATTATCTGGTTAACCTGGATCAAACAAACACTGCCTTTTTTCAGTAAATTTGAGAGAGCATGAAAACATGTAAAAATCAATTGAATTTCTGAGAACTCAATTTCTTCTGAGAAATGCGAGAAAAACCCTAATTCCTGATTTACTACCATAGGAGAAAATCTGTCTGATCGATTCCTGAGCCAATCCTGAATATCTGAGAAACCCTAGGGTTGTGTTTTTCTTATGAAAAATAGGAGGGAAAATTTTGGGGTACAACACTATTCGAATGACAAATGATTGCTCGTCATTTTTAATAAAGGCCCGGTTCTTTCCTGGCACCCTTCAAAGGCCCTGTTCCTTAGTGGAACAATTCTTTCGGGCTTCTACTACCTGTTCTTAGGTCATCGCCAATGTCATTGGTATACCTTTTGAATCCAGTTTTACCCTGGTATTCCTTTGGAGCTCTATCATCTCCTTTAGGTCGAGGTCACCACTCGTTACCATGTTTTGATCTTCACCAGCGTTCCTATAGCGTAGCAATGGGCTATGGTTATCAAACCCCTTGTGCGTGAAATTCAGTTTTGTCCTGGTACTCATCCTAATTTCTACCTCTAGTCTTGAGTTGAGTTCGCCACTCGTTTCTAAAGTCTCAACGTTGGATTAGTCTCTACTCCGGACCTTCTTGAGCCGAGTCCATCACTCGTTATATGTCTCTTTTTACACATTGGTAACCTCAGTTCTGTCTGTAAATCGGTTGAGACCAGCAACTGTCTTTTGAAAACACGCATTTTCTAACACCTTGTTATAGGATCCAATTCCGCTTGTTGTCTTATTGAGTACCCCTGGGGAAAGTCAACTACTTGTTTACTTGTATGTGTTCCAGTTTATTCTTGGTGCATTCCTTATAGTACTCCCCTTTAAGGTCGAGTTCACAACTCGTTACCTTATTTCGATCATTACCAGTGTTCCTATAGCATGGCGATGGTATATGGTGATCGAGACCAGTTGGTATGGTTTTACCTGTCAGATAAAATTCCATTGTTATCCTTAGTGTCTAGTCTCTACTGCTAGTCCTATCCCGGGTTAAGTCTCCACTCATTTCGATTGTTGGCAAACCAGTTCTTCCCTGGCACAACCTGCATAGTATTCTCAGGGCCAAGTCGGCTGCTTGTTCCCTTTCCGCAATACCCAGCGTTTTGTTAACGTTCTATGGGTCGGGTTCAATTTATAATGGCACTCATTGGAAAATCTAGTTCATTCCTAGGTTTTTCCGCTTTTTCCTCTATACCCAAAAATCAGCTCCAGATTGTTGTTACCAAAATACAGTTACTAGTGTGTTGCGTCTCTGTTATTTTTGGATTCTTTTTATATTCAATCCCCTTCCACCTTCAACGTTGGAAAGCATTCTCTTTTCTAACTTATCAAGTTTAAGATGATTGAATAAGAGCCGTTGTTGCACCCCAAAATTTTCCCTCTCAATTTTGTTCTTATCTAGCTTAGACTTTGCATTTCATCTGCATATTTTTCATTAGGTCTTCTGCATAATCATGCATTTCACTCAATAAAGTGCCTGAAGTTTAAAGTCCAATGGTTGAGAAGTATTACAGTTTTTTGTTGGTTTGAGATAAATATATTGATTCAGGATGATACTTCTGGTTCTTCTTCAAGCGGTGAACTGTGGGATTAAGATTATGAAGTATGGTTGTCCGAAACTTCTTTCTTCTTAAGCTACAAGGCTACTATGATTTATTTTTCTATGTGTGATTAAAGTTGTGGTTTTTCATCTGTCATGTCCCAATCGAGGTTTCTTCTTCAAGATATCTCAAGGAGAATTAAGGTTCTTTTCATCATGTTTGAGTTGGTTAACATTCATTAATTCAAGTCAAGTGGATTTCATGCTTTAAGCCTTATCATCTTCAAAGTTTTACTCAAGACATTTGTTTTAAGATAATTGGTTATCAATTTGAGATGTCTTATTGGATTTAATCACAAAGCATAAATTATGAAAACAAGATATGAAACATGGGATTCATTATGATCAAGGCATGATTGTTCTCTCAATTATATGTTGCTTACAAATACAATTGTTTGTTGCTTACAAATACAAGTGGGTTTGGATATAAAATTTGAGGTTAGGTTTCAGAGATATGAAGTGGGATAAGCTCATTCAAGAGATCATTTTATTAAGATTTTAAGCATGGAAGAATTTGTTCATGAGGTTTTCTTGGAAGACAAGTTGCAAGTTTTAAAGTTTGCCACAATTATTCATCAAGCCTTGTTAATACAATAAGTGGAGCTTTGTTGGCTTTTGATAATATGCAAAGGTGATGTTGTGAATCTGATGATGTTTCTTATGTTTCTTATAAGCATTCAATTTTATATGGAGCTCATGAACTCTACAAGCATTCAATTTTATATGGAGCTCATGAACTCTACAAGCACTCAATATTATCCAGAGTTCCAACAAAATATTACCCGTTTAAATTCATTCAACCCCCATCCAACATCCTCTTCGAGGCATAATCACATAAGGAAAGTTTGCTTTGGATATTTGGATTCTATTACTGAGCTTTCAAGATTACATCGTTCAGAACATAAGTAAAATTTCAATTCAAGTCATTACATAAGAGTTCCATTACAACACCATGGTGACATTGCCAACTGAAAAAGCAGTAACATTCTCAAATATACATCAAGATCCATATTCATCATTCATAACAAAAATTAGAATTTATAAAGCATGTTCTAAATCTAGTCCTGACGCTATTAAGCTTCATGCTAAATCCTGCTCCAAAGCCCTGCCATATCCAGGCCAAAGTTGTTGCCCTGTATCCTAAAAACCGGAGGAACTAACCGCAAAAAAACCCAAATAAAACCAATCCTGCCTTGCAGTGTAAACCAATTCCAACAGAAAAAGCTGGAAGAAATTATATGAACTGGCCCTGCACATGAACAAAAACTCCTACTAACGAAGCAGAAAATACAGAGGAAATAACAGGGAATTCAGAATTTACGGCTTAGCAGAAAGTTAGAGGGAAGATGGAATAGTCGGGAAATTGAAATTGAATTGCCAGATCAGGTTATAACAGAATTTCAGAAGAGATAATGAAGGATATATCAGAGTTCACCTCTCAAAAGGGATTCGATCTCCACCATCCATTTGTTGTAACCGACTTTCGATCCAAAGGACGAGAAGTTCCAATCTATAACAGAATTCTCACTGCCTTATAACAAAAATGCTAACAAAATTTAGGGGAGGATTCATTCACCAGAAAAGTCTCAACAAACTCACAGAAAATCCCTCAAAAGCTCTCGCTCTGAAATCTTCATCACCTTGTTTCATCATCTTCATCAACGAAGATCAACCACCTCATTCTTCTGCAAGAAATTTCGTGAATCTTCAACAAAACCCCAATCTACTTCAATCTGGAACCGAAAACTGCATCATCCACGCTCATCATCACAACAACGTTACTTTGAATTGATCTTCATCAACAACAGCACTTCATCATCATCCGCATCTGCGTTCACAATGCATCGATCCACAACCGAAATCGCAGACAAAAGAATCAAGAAAGGAGGAAGAAGAATTGGAAAGCAAAGAAAGAAGAGCTTCGAAGCGTCCTCAGAGCCTGTAACTCACGTTGTCGAACGAGAATGTGACGTTGAGAAGCGGGGAGCGCGAAATCGAGCGATGATGAAGAGGATTCGCGGCCGTTTGAGATGGAGATAGCCGAAGTGAGGCGAGGAATCGTAATTGGGGAGGTGAGCGTTGTACGATTTTCACCGGAGAGACGCGACCTTCGTCGTCGTCGTCATCGTGATCAAAGCTAGGGTTTGCAACCCCCATTCCTTCGATTCCCGTGATTGAGGCCAGATTGGAGGGGTCAAGGACTTAGAGGCGGACATATGTACTGAGACGAGCAAGGATTGAATCGCAGCGGTGGAGGGACTTGAGAACGGCGCGGGTCGTGGATAGAAGAAGGATATTGCGCCGTAAGTTTGAAGGAGATCGCGTCTGAACGAAGTCTAAACGTCACTTTCTTTCAACCCCGTCCTTTAACTAATGCGTTGTCGTTTTCGTTATTTGCCAATTTGTTTCATGTTTTTGTTATTTTATTAATGGCTGAACATAATTGGAAGAATAATAAAAATATGGTGATAAGGTTTGAATTGGGTATGGGCCAGACAACACTTTCCCCTTGGGTCCATAGGCATTTTTTTGGTACAAACTAATTCCCCTTGCAAAAATAAATCTGGTGGATTCAAGCTGATTGGGCCTCATGCTTCTTGTGCATCATCTCTGATCCACAATTGTACACCCCCTCTGAAGTGGTTTATGTTGATTGATTTGAGTCAATTTTTCTTTCCAATAATGTTGGTAGACTTTGTTGATAAAATGCATGAATAAAAATAGTAGAATATAATCGAATTTTTTTAGGATTTCTTTTTAGAATTTTGATTAGAATTTTCTATTATCGTTTTTGTTTAGTAATCATTTGTTGTGCCATCTTTAGCTAAGATTTTATGATAGTGTTGAGGCAATCTTTTGTGATATGGGATGCTTGAAGATTTACTCGTTAGATCACTTGTGTGAGGCAGATTTGGTAAGAGTTTTCTCTTTGCTTGTGTGGCTTCGAATATGCAATGGACCTTCTCTGTTAGGTATCATCTGAGCTTTTTTTACTTTCTTATCAGTTGCACCATTTTTTATTTCCTTGACATGAGAAGTAGGAATAGAGATGCATGACTGAGAGTCCCTACTTTAGATGGGCAATGTTGTTTTAAAAGACCTTTAGAAGGAAATTCTTACTAGTGCTTGCTTGTTTAAAGTCCTCAACGAAGGCGATTCTTTGTGTTTATATTTGTGCCAAAGACCTCAAAGAAGGCATTTCCATTCCCATTTCCCCTTTATGCAAAGACCTCAAAGAAGGCAATAAGGCAAAGTGAGGGTCCGCAATCGACCCCTGCCATTTCAAGTCCCCGGGTTATTTGTAGCTCATGTCGTACGTTGATGCTATGAATAATTTACAACCAACCCACGCATTTGTCTTTAGCTCGCGTTCACGAATGTTGATGCTTCTATGTGATCTCATTAATGTCTTTTATCTCCCACCTCAATGACACGATATCTTGGTTAAGTGTTAAGGCGCCTATGACGATCCACTTTTGTTCTTTTCTTGCCTAGATGACACGATATCTATGATAAGGGTCGACACCCTCTATTCTTCTTACCTTGATGACATGATATCATGGTTAAGATTTATTCATTCCCCTATGTTGCTTACCTTGATGACTCAATATGTTGGTTAAGCCTCCCTTCATTCTACCTTGATGACATGATATCACGGTTAGGTGTCTCACTTCCCTTATCCTACCTTGATGACACGATATCATGGTTAGGTGTTATCCCTCACCCCTTTCTACCTTGGTGACATGATACATTGGTTAGGTGTGTGCTACTTAAGCGAGTGGATACTCTTCAGGCTTTGTGTGCTTTCTTTCTATTTTATGATCACATGTTTCCCCTAGGATTTTTAGTTCACTCTCTTTTAAATTTGAACTAATTAGACCTTAGGCTTAAATCTATGGATGCCAACATTAGGTAGAATTCTCTTGATCCCAACCATAGGACCAACTTTGCATGACAACCTCAGGAATATTTTGCTAACCCCCCCCCCCCCCCCCCTTTAGACCTTTCTTTTATTTATGCTTCATCATCGATTTCTATTTTTGTTATCCTACTTTGATGACTTAATACCATTTCCAGGTGTAATGTTTGCTCGATGTTCCATCATTGATTTCTATCTTTGTTATCCTACCTAGGTGACTTGATACCATTGTCAGGTGTAATTTTTGCTCGATGTTCCATCTTTGATTTATATCTTTGTTATCCTCCTTTGGTGACTTAATACTATCGTTACATGTATGTTTGCTCGATGTTTCATCGTCGTTTTCTATCTTTGTTATCCTACTTTGGTGACTTGATACCATCATTAGGTGTATGTTTTCTCGATGTTCCGCCATCGATTTATATATTTGTTATCCTACTTTGGTGACTCGATACCATTGTCAGGTGTAATGTTTGCTCGATGTTCCATCATCTATTTTTATCTTTGTTATCCTACCTTGGTGACTTGATACCATTGCCATGTGTAATGTTTGCTCGATGTTCCATCATCAATTTATATCTTTGTTATCCTCCTTTGGTGACTTAATACCATCATTACGTATATGTTTGCTCGATGTTTCATCATTGTTTTTTATCTTTGATATCATACTTTGGTGACTTGATACCATTGTTATGTGTATGTTTGCTCGGTGTTCTATCATCAATTTCTATCTCTGTTATCCTACTTTGGTGATTTGATACCATCGTTAGGTGTACATTTGATCGATGTTTCATCATTGTTTCCTATCTTTGTTATCCTACTTTGGTGACTTGATACCATTGTGAGGTGTATGTTTGACCGATGCTTCGCCATCGTTTCATATTGCTCATATCCTACTTTGATAACATGATATCATTTTTAGGTGTTTACTATGTGATGTTTTTATTGCTTATCATCCTACTTTGATGACTTGATATCATTGTTAAGTATGGATGTTACACCATCCCTTTTTATCGTTTCTATCCTACTTTGATGACTTGATATCATTGTTAGGTGTTTATTACTTGATTTTTTGCCATCTCTTTCTCTTATCCTACTTTGATGACTTGATATCATTGTTAGTGTATGTTTGATCGGTGTTTTACCATCTCTTTATCGATTCTTAACCTAGTTTGATGACTTGATATCACTGTTAGGTGTTGATGTTTTACCATATCTTTTCCTATTCCTATGTGATGTTTTCTTGCTACGATTGCTTGTCATCCTTTGTGTATGCTTCCCCTTTTGCTTAGGTTTTCCTTTGGCATTTGCATTGAAACTAAAACCTCTTTTTTCTCTCAAATTCATAAAACACTCTAAAATTGCAAAATCCTTTTTCAAGGTAAAAAACACCAACCAATGCAAACCTTTTTGTCTTCAGACCTTTTTCTTTTGAAAACCTTTTCAAAAAGGACATGCTTCACTAGTATAGTTCATAAAAAACATGAAACTCACCAAAACTTTTAAGGTGAACTACGAGTGCCTTGATCCCCATTACAAGACCAGTGGTACGTAGGCATAAAGGTTCGCAACCACGACAGGCACAACTAACAAAAACTTTTATTTTTGCACATAATACTTTGCATCCATGCATTCCCTTTTAGCATTAAGATTTAGTCATAGATTAGATACACTCTTAGATTAGAACAAACTTAATTGGATCATGTGGAGTACCACAGATGTGAGGGGTGGTAACACCTTTCCCTCGCGTAACTGACTTCTTTACCTTTTTCTCTTGGTCGCGATGAACATGCTTCTTTCCTTGCATCTGGTTTACTCAGTGTTTCCTTTCCCTCTCTTGGGATAAATAAAATTGATGGCGACTCTTCTGTTTATCTGCCTCCTTCGCGCTTAGATGAAAATCCCAAACGCGACACAAGGTCACTAACATGGAAGTTTTTGGGTTGCACTCTTTTGTCAAAAGCTTTCTTCATCCTCTTCTGATACACCTGCCCATGACAAATTATGGCCAATATTTTATCATCAATGAGGTTCAAATAATCAAGTCTCATCTGAACCCATTCAACTTCATTAAGCATTACATTCATCATGATCCTTAAAGAATGAATCTGAACTTCCACGACGAGACTGCTTCCATGCCATACACCAAGGAAAAGGGTGATGCCCATGTTGAGGTATTTACCAATGTATGGTAACCATGCAAAGCGAAAGGCATCATCTCATGCCAATCTTTATAATTTACAACCATCTTTTGCATGATCTTCTTAATGTTTTTATATGTTACCTCAACAGTTTCATTCATCTTCGGATGATATGGCAAAGAACTATGATGTTTGATCCTAAAATTCATGCACAGCTCTTTCATTATCTTATTATTGAGATTTGATCCATTATTAGTAATGATCTTCTCTGGAACCCCATATTGGAAGATGATTTGATTTCTGATGAAACAGACAACCAGTTCCTTGGCTGCATTTGCATACGATGCAGCTTTAACCCACTTGGTGACGTAATCAATGGCCACCAAGATAAAACAATGTCCGTTTGAAGCAGTTGGTTCGATTCTTCCTATCATATCAATGCCCCACATTTCAAAGGGCCACGGGGAGATCAGGACGTTCAAGGTTTTCTGAGGCATATGTAAGTTGTCATCATAGATCTGGCATTTGTAACAAGTCCAGGCATGATTATAACAATCAACCTCAATAGTGGACCAATAATAACCCGCTCTCAGGATTTTCCTCGCCATAGTATGTCCACTAGAATGTGTCCCAAAGTTACCTTCATGAATCTCTTCTACGATCTTAGATGCTTCGTGTCTATCCACGCATCTGAGCAATACAGAATCATAGTTTATTTTATATAATACACCA